GAGTTTGAGCTCTCTGTGAGACATCCAGGTGTTCAGTGGATAGCTGGCTAGAATTCCATGGAGCTCAGAGGAAGGTCTGGTCCACAGATAAAACTTTGGGACTTGTTGCCATGTGGACAATGCCCATAGAGGTCAGGCAGGTAATATCAGTGAGCGAACTGGGCTGGCTGAGGTGAACCAAAGGGCCGTTGGTCATTTATCTTGAGGGGGTTGTTGTCATGTGGGAATGATGGCCAGGTGTAGCAGGTCCTCCAACTGAAAACATTAAAGGAAGGCCACATAACAAATGGAGTACCATCTGAGCCACCAGGGAAGCCCATAAGGGCACCACACGGTTCCAATTACGATGGACCACTTATTTGTCGTATGACCTTGATCAAGATGCATCATCTCTCTGTGTCTCAATTCCCCTGATGGTAAATAGGAGCAATAATGGTATATGCCTTGTGGGGTTGTTTGGGGAGTAAGCGGTTTAACCTTTATAAAGCACTTAGGATAGTGTGGTGCTTATTATATAAGTAAGGGGTCCCCAGCCTCCAGGATCTAATGCCTGATGATCTGAGGTAGAGCTGGTGTAATAATAATAGAAATAAAATGCACAATAAGTATAATGCGCTTGAATCTTCCCCAAACCATCCCCCCACCCCCAACCCCTGTAGAAAAATTGTCTTCCATGAAACTGGTCCCTGGTACCAAAAATGACTGGTATAAGTACTTGTTAAATAATCAATAAGTGATAGATAAATGAGTCAATACTGTTGTGAAATGAAATGAACAGAGGGTGTAAGATGGAGCCCCAAGGAGTATGAATATTTAAGACTGTTGAGCAGACAGAGAAGTCACAAACCAGGAGTGTGGTATCCTGGATCTAAGTCCTGTGAGTATTTCTAGATGACAGGGTTAGTCTATGTTGTCAAACATGGCAGAGAGGTCAGGTATAAGCTTCCTGGGTAGCTCAGCTGGTAAAGAATTAACCTGCGATGCAGGAGACCTGGGTTTGATTCCTGGGTTGGAAAGTTCCCTGGAGAAGGGACAGGCTCCCCACCCCAGTATTCTTGGGCTTCCCTGGTGGCTCAGATGGTAAAGAATCCACCTGCAATGCGGGAGACCTGGGTTCAATCCCTGGGTTGGGAAGATCCCCTGGAGGAGGGCACGGCAATCCACTCCAGTATTCCTGCCTGGAGAATCCCATGGACAGAGGAGCCTGGCAAGCTACAGTCCATGGGATCGCAAAGAATCAGACACGAATGAGCGACTAAGCATAGCACAAAGACCAAAGCATCAGTTGACTCTGGCAGCAGTACCTCATTTAATCCTCACAGAATTCCTGTAAGGCAGGTATTATTTTTACTGATGAGGAAACCAAGGTTTTAGATGTCATGCATATAACCTAAGTCATGCAGCTGGACAGTGGGGGAGATGGGATGGTCCCTTATGGGTCAGATTCTGGAGCCTGTGACCTATGTCCTGCTTCTGGAAGAGTCAGCAGAGAATTTTACCCAGATTTCTGAAGACCAGTAGGGCTGGTTTGCCTTCCTTGCTTATAAGCAGAGGATATGGTTTTCTCTCTGTCCTTCTGAAATATGCTTTCTCATTCTTTCTTGAGACAGATGACCTGGGGTATATGTCATTATCAAGAGGATGTCTTATATATCATCACATGTAACAGCAGAGCCTTTCTTTGTCCCAAACCTTTTATTTTAGGTAAATGGATCCAGTAATGTCAGTCACCTCAAAAGGAAAGATTTGCCTCAAGGCTTTTTTTTTTTTGCCTCAAGGCTTTAAACTAATTCCTTTTTCACTCACAGGAGCAAGTTGTTCAAGGAGAAAAGAATGTAGACATGCCTGGCGGAAAAACCAGGGCTGCGTGATGTCATGGGAGTTAGTTAGAAATTGGGGACACAATGTACTGTCCCTAGAGTCCCACGGTCCCTACATGGGTCACCCATACCTGGGCGACTAGGCTCCGTGCCCATTTCTGCATCCGGCACACTAGGGGAGCTTAACTGTCATAAAGAGATGGTTAACCATTAAAATCTGGAATTCCCTTTTTTTATCTGGTTGACAATAAATAACACAATGAAAATATTTTTCAAGAGCCATTTAGCAAATTTTAGATTATCTGGGTGAAGACCTCAGCATGTAAAATGCCTCTTAAAATGAATACATGTATATGTATGGCTTAATCTGTTTGCTGTCCATCAGAAATGATATAGCATTGTTAATTGGCTATACTCCAGTATAAAATAAAAAGTTTAATAAAAATTAAAAAAAGACTCTCAAAAACAGGCATCTGACTTTTTTAGTTTTGTGTCATCAAACAATGATAACATCTCTTACCAGACTACAGTGAAAATCCCTGCCAGGGCCATATGCCTACGCTGAGGTCAGGATTTCTTTCTTTAATGTCAGCTCAGTAGTTAGCAATGCTGAGATCCCCAAAGTGAATGAGGACCCCATGAAAAAAATGAATAACTTTATTCTAGGAAATCAGTGCTCAAAAGCTTGATGTTTACAACTGCCTGGTGTTTAATGTTTTTCTACATTCTTGTCAGAGTCCGCTTGAGTGGATTAATTATTTGTGCCCCACCCTGGATTCTCTTCCATTGTTCTCTCTTGTTAAGAACAGCGCCACCTGGGGATGGACCCCGGTTGCATGGGATCTGAAGGTTATAAAAATCTGGGGCTTTTTTTAAAATTTAAACTTTTTATTTCATATTGGAGTATGAAGAAGTGAAGTGAAGTCGCTCAGTCGTGTCTGACTCTTTGCGACCCCATGGACTGTTGCCTACCAGGATCCTCAGTCCATGGGATTTTCCAGGCAAGAATAATGGAGTGGGTTGCCATTTCCTTCTCCAATATTGGAGTATAGCTGATTAACAATATCTTAATAGTTTCAGGTGAACAATGAAGGAATTCAGCCATACATATACATGTATCCATCCTCCAAACTTGGGGGCTTTTTTTAAAATAAAAAGAGTATAAAATTAGGTACAGAAAAAAAATAGAGTGGTTATTTAGAATGAAAAATGAATGTGAGTAGAAAGGGGCCCATGCAGTGAAGGGTCCTGAAACTTAAGCTTGGTTAGCTTCATGCTAAGTGGGTCTTTAGAGCCACTATGGATCCTGTTCTACGAATGAGGTGCCTTCCTATCTGGGGCTTCTCTAACTGAATCTTGAACTTAACTGCCTTCACTTCCTGCCATCCTGCTGTGCTGACCTCCCTGGCATGTCCTGCTGTTTCACCCTCTTGTGTTACCATGCTCCTCTCCTTGAAAGCTTTATCATGTTTGTGACTTAAGTATTTTTGCATTAATATTTGTCTAGCTGAGGATTCTTAAAAAAAAACCCATGAGACCTAGGATTGTGTCTGGGTTGTGTTGTATTTTACATGTGGTTCTAGTTACAAGGCCTATTAGCTAAGTGCCTGCTCCCTAACTGGAACCCAAATACTTACTGAATGAATGAATTTGTGAAGAAGGATGCTAGTAAGAATAGATTTGTGGGTCTTGTACCCCAAAGAGGAATTCCACTGGGTAGGGCCAGCTTAAGGGCATTTGGGTCAGTTGTGTTCAAAATGAGACTTGTCAGCAGCAGAGTCTGCTCTTAGATTTGAAAAATTTGTTTAAGCTTTGCCATTCAAAATTTCACCTTAAATGGACTGACATCAGCCTTGCATTCAGCCTAGAGAAACTTTTGGGAGCCATGACCTGCAGTCTCAAGAGGCCCCATATGCCCATGTAGATACAAGACAGACACTTTGAATCAAGCAAGTGATTTTGGGGATAGTCCTTATTTGAGGTCTGTAGCTCTGTTCCCCTCACTAGGTGAAAATTGGCTTCTTCACTCCAGTACCTTAAGGTACAGGCAGTTCTGCTCTAATGTGATGGAGTGGGTTGCCATCTCCTTCTCCAAATAAGGTGTACACATGCCTGTAAAACTTCCCTTTGGCAAGGATTGAGCTGAAAGGAGAGCAGGGAGAGCTATTGTCCGTTTGCAGAAGGGTGTCTTTCGGTGGGTGCAGGAGTAGGCCCAGCTGGGAGGGGTTGGCAGGGGGAGGGAAACTGCCACCAGGCCCTCTGCTTTTCAAGGTCACCTGGTCTTCTTAACTGTCCCCATACAGGTCAAGTCATCCTCTGCCTCCATGCTTGACTCATGCTGTCCCAAAACCATCCAGAATGTTCTTCTAGGCTTACTCTCTGATGGTATCTCAAGCCAAGCTCTAGCTTTTCCTTGCCTGAAGGGAGGAAACACATGGCCATTGCCCACTCAGGTTAACTTTGATCTTCTTGGTGCTCCAACAGTCATGCAGACCGAGGAAGCGCCTCTCGTGATGCTGAACCGTGTCCTGCCTCGTGTTAGGTAACCCGCTCACATGTCCCCAGCTACTGTGTGGGTGCCTCGGAGCCAGGGAACTGGCTGTACTTCTTTGATGTCCCAGCAGTATCACACCATCTTTGACTCATTTGGGGTTGATACCTCATTCTTTCATCCTCAACTGGTTCACTAAATAATAACGGCTAGGTCAGTGGCAAGGGAAGCAGACACGAAAGCTGCAGACTTTCCCTCCAAAATGTCCCAGTCTGGTGGAAGAGCCTTCATGACTAGCTGCTTAACTGGTTATTTTCTGGCAGTTTGGAGTGACTTCTAAGGAACTGAGCATGGGGGAGATAAGCTATGTATCTGGTGTCTCCTAAGTCCTATCTTTCATTGTGGTTTCATGTTTTCATTTTGAGTGGAGTCTAAACTTTGGGAACCTGCACATAGCATCAGTTACATATGTAACATTCTGAATTCAAATGTGAGGGAAGAATAGGAGCCCATAAATACAGTTATTCAAAGTTCATGAGGCTCAGACACTACTGTGCTAAATAGATACTTTTATATGTGGAGGTGGCTGTTTTATGATGGAAAGTCACTAACAGACAAGACTTTTATTAAACCTCATGACAACAATGTGTTGTTGATATAACCAAGCATTTTTGCTTCTTCCTGTTTAGGAAATTATACAGTTTTGGCTCTCAAAGGGTGTTGATGGCTTTAGTTTCGATGCTCTTCAATTTCTTCTAGAAGCAAAGCATCTGAGAGATGAGGCCCAAGTGAATAAGACCCAAATCCCGGTAAAGTTTTAAACATATTAATATATGTACACATGGTTTTAATATATATTGTAAAATAAGTATATATTTATAAATATATATGTACTTATTTATATTTTTTTCTTTTCTGAAAATATTATTGGAGTATTTTTTTTTTAGCTTGAGACACCACTTACCAGAGGTGAGTTCTGTTCCACCTATAGGGAGCACTTTGAATCATTTTCTTTGGGAAACACAGGCGTTTCAAATGCATGCGACTAGATATTTCCTTCTACTGGTTCCCTCCAAAGTGATCTTTGAAGATCACTTTCTGAAGGCATGGACAGTGTGGACTCCACCGAGGGCCATAACTTCATGATTTTTGTCACTCACTCAAGCTCAAGGGAGGTGGCTTAAGTTCCCCAGGTGCTTTTGCAGTCATTAAAGGACACGTAGGCAGAAGGGAAAGGAAATAACACTTGCTGAGCGTCACTTGTATGCTATGTGCTCCTTCCATTTAACTCTCAGCATCCTGTGAGGTTCCATGATCCCCATTTAGCACATCTTAGAGAAATTAATTTATCAGGGTGACACAGGTGATACATGGAATTACCAACCAAGCCTATCTGCAACAGAATTTGGGCTTTTTGTGCTTTCACACCAGTGGTTCTCAACCTTCTCCCCTCCCATGTCACACATGAGACAGAGGAATAATCACAAACCACTCCCGTTCCTGTAGTTGACCACCATTCTACAGTCAGTCTGTTTTCAGTGGCCAAGTAGATAGCAGTCCTAAAATGCATTTCAAAATAACAGATTAGTATATTTATACAAGAATATGTCAAAATGAATTAATAGTGACACATAGCAATATGGGTCAATCTTAGTGATATAAAGTGTAGCAAAAAAATCTAAATTATGTATAACATGATGCCCTTTTTAGAAAGTAAAATTAAATTCATATGATTATCAACTTGATAATTTTATCTGAGTAATAAAGGGAAGCTGGCCATTCATGGGCTAATTATGAGACCATGTCATGAGCCAAGGTTATGATTAAGCATTTTTTTTCGCACGTGATTTCCAGTAGAAAGGAAAAATGAAGGGGAAAAAAAAGGTTGTATGTTAGCCAGCTGTCCCAAAGAGAAGCATTTATACTTGGAGAAGAAATTCCAGAATAACCTTGCTAATTATAATATGTCAGAAGATAGGCATATGCTTCTACTGAAGACAAATGACCAGAACAATGGATTTTGTGTACTACCCAAGAAAAACTTAAAGGACATGTAACTTCCAAAGATACTGGAGATTTCAAAAAACTTCACTTGATCTAGCAAGAGAAAATCACTTATTAAAAAGGGGTCCACTGAATGGATGGCAACTCATGAACTGTCTAGCCTGTCCATGTCCTAACCCAGGATTTATAAACTGAGCTTGTATGAGACATAATCTTTTACTTTGATTCTAGAAGATTATTGTAACCCTTGAAAAGCACAAAATCAGTATCAGGAAAAATTATTGAAACCCCAAGAAAGTATAACTGTAAGAATAAAGGACAAAAGTGGTAAAAAAAAAAAACAAATGTAAATGCATGGTATTAATAATTTTGTGAGCAGATAAAGTACAAATGTAATAAGGTACTCTAATCATTAAGATAATTTTTTGTTTGCCTTTAAAAATGTGGAGCATTTGGGACAATAAAATGTTTAGGAGGATTTTGTTAAATACATTTGTAATCAATGTTTAGCTGTTTGATAAAATTTAACTTGTTTACTAGATTTACAGTTAATAAGTTAAGCACAAAATGAAACACTAATAATATTGAGTGTTCTCCGTGAACAAAATCCCTTGAGCAGTGGAAGCCTTAGGACCATCTTTAAGCATGTGTGTTTTGGTCTGAGTCCTTTGAAGAGACAGTCCACATGAGGCCACGATGGGCATTTGACATGTGACATTATGCTAACCATGCTGTCCTGTTTTCAAAGGACACAGTCACTCACTACTCGCAGCTGCACCATGACTTCACCACCACACAGGTGGGAATGCACGACATTATCCGCAGCTTCCGGCAGACCATGAATCAGTACAGCAGGGAGCCAGGGAGATACAGGTAACTACAGGCGCAGCGTGTGATCTGCACTTTATCCCTCACAATCACGCATTCTCAAGAGGTTCCAGTTATAATTTAACAAACCACGTAATTACAGTGCATCATAACTTGGTTATGCTAGGGCCTGGTATAGTCTCTCATGTTGCTTAACTTTGCTGATTTAGTTTCCTCTTTTGTAAAACGATGCTAGTCACAATATGTATTCACAGAAATTTTGTGAAAATTAATTAAAAGATAATGTATTATCTAAAGGTTAGTCTTTATTATTTACTATTTGCCCTGTTAGCATGCAAATGTTCCAGCTAAGCTGTTAATAGATTACAATGGTTAGGAACACTACTTTGGAATCAGGTGGGCCTGAGGTGGAGTCCTCAGGCATAATAGCTATGCCACCTTGAGCCGGCGTAAGGTTAGTTAAGTCTGTTTTCTCATCAACTAAAAAGTGGTAACTGACACCCATTTAAGGTTGTTGTGAGATTACATGAGATGTCTGTGAAACACTTAAAATGGTACCTGGCACATAATAAACACTCAGTAAACTTAACTCTTGTAGTGTTTATATTGATTACCCAGTAGAATCAATGGAAAAGGAGTTCAAGAAATTTCTCCTTGAAGCAGTCCTCTGATAACTGTCCCCATTTTACAGATGAGGAGACTGACTCTGGGGATACAGGTAATGGTCACACAGGCAGTGATGACAGAGGTGAGACTGGAACTGAAACACCCCAGCTCCAGATATTGTGTACTTATCCATTTGATGTAATGTCTCAACCAGCTAAAGCCAGCATTGATGTGGGTCATTTCAGGCAAATATATGTTCCCTGAAGAGTGTTTGCTTTTCAACAACTGATAGTGCACCCCAATAATAAAGTGAGACTTTCAGTTCAGTTCAGCTCAGTCGCTCAGTCGTGTCCGACTCTTTGCGACCCCATGAATCGCAGCACGCCAGGCCTCCCTGTCCGTCACCAGCTCCCGGAGTTTACTCAAATTCATGTCCATTGAGTCAGTGATGCCATCCAGCCATCTCATCCTCTGTCGTCCCCTTCTCCTCCTGCCTCCAATCCCTCCCAGAATCAGGGTCTTTTCCAATGAGCCAACTCTTCGCACGAGGTGGCCAAAGTACTGGAGTTTCAGCTTCAGCGTCAGTCCTTCCAGTGAACACCCAGGACTGATCTCCTTTAGGATGGACTGGTTAGATCTCCTTGCAGTCCAAGGGTTAGGGGGATTCAAATACAAGGGGAAGTTTTTTGGGTGAGCCCCCTTACCTTATATGCAGACATACACTGTATGTTCTAAGTGGAGTGATGAGAATTGCTAAAGTAAAGTCTTCCTGGAAGTTACTGAGTTTCATTTAGATTTAGAAAGAAAAGAACAGTATTGATTGAGATCCAAATGTGTTTCTTTTAGACATGACTTAGTATTAGGCTAGTCTTTTGGTTTAATATGTTGAGAAATTGCCAGTCGACTCAGCGTGCCATTTCTTGTTCGTCTGGCTTGATTCTGCTTCTTTAGTAAGCCCTAGTTGACATGGTTAAATAGTGTGCATTCATTCCCATCCTGTCCTTGAGGCATAGCAGCTGCAAAGTGCTTTACCAGTCTCCTCACAGACCCTGACGACATGGTACTTCTCACTATTACAGGTTCATGGGGACTGAAGCCCATGGAGAGAGCATCACCAAGACCATGGTGTACTATGGGTTGCCTTTTATCCAAGAAGCAGATTTTCCCTTCAACAATTACCTCAGTAAACTAGACAAGCCTTCTGGCAACAGTGTGTTTGAGGTTATCACATCCTGGATGGAAAACATGCCGGAAGGAAAATGGCCCAATTGGATGGTAAGTCCTTATGGGGAGCTGGCGTGCTCACTGTATAGTCACCTCTGAAACAAGGGGCACATGTCTGTAAGTGACCTTCCCCTTCCCCTCAGTTTGTGACGGTTTAGTGAGCTGGGCCCATCCCAGCTCCTAACCAGGTTCTTGTCATTCCTCTCTTTTCCTTCTGGTTCTCAGATCAGATAATCTCAACTGATCTGTCCCATTTGCTGATTCCTTGGCTAGTTCAAATCTGTCCAGCCCTTCCAGTAAACTTTTCCTTTATTGTACTTTTCAACTAAAATTTCGATTTGGTTCATTTTCATGATTTCTCCTTATTGATAGTATCTATCTGATAAAGAATTGTTCTCATACTTTTAAGGAATTCTGTAGATATGGTTTACATTTTTGAACACACATATATGAGTGGAGTTAAAGTTGTTATCCACTAAGGCCATACTTCCCTGGTTCTTTGCACGTCCTGTATTCTTTTATTGGTTGTTGAAAACTGAATGTTTCAGTGTAGAAATTTTGAAAATCACATTCTCCCTTTCCCCAGTGTTTGTTTCTTCATTGACTTTCGTGGATTAATTCTGTAAAAATCTGTGTTATTTGTTGTGTGCGGCCACTGAAGTCTCTGCTTGGTCACTAATGATTGTTAAGATTCCTTAGAAGCCTTGAACCAGTAAGTCTCCCAGCATTTACTGAGGGGCTATTAGTGAAGTGGGGGAGGGAGGGATGCTTTCAACACTCCTGCAGGCAGCTTACAACTTTGCCTTGGTCTCTACTTTCCTCTTGCTAGAGCTTCAGGGTTGGCCAAAAGGGAGAGATTAGAGTTTCCCGGGGCACCTGTGCATGTGTGCAGTCTTCTAGATTCCAGGAAAATGTCAGAGCCTTTCAAAGCCCATTATGGTCATCTCATTTCCAACTTTTAAGTTTTTCTGGTCAGTCTCTGTTCGGCCCAGGTTGGTAACCCCATCTCTGGCAAGTATCAATTGTTTTTGGCAGATGCCTTCCGGATAAGATGATTTGCATACTCAGCTCTGAGTCAGAGCAGATAAAGAAAGAAATCCATCCAAAAATGAGCTGCTGAAAAGGTTAAATAGTGACAGTTCTTTAGAGGTGGAGCTTTTGATGAACTTTTAACACTATTCTGGTCTTCCAGAGCTGCTGGGTTAACTGTTGGTTTTCAAGGCTGTCTTGAATTTGAGGGGAGGTTAGGGCCAGTTAAAATGATGCAAATCTTACTGTTCTTACTGAGACCCAGCTGTTCTTCTTGAATACTCCTTGGATTGCTAGTAAGCATTTCATTTCCAAGTTCCGAAAAAGTAGATTTTTTTTTTTTTTTGTCAGCATTCTTCTTGCTTTCATGTTAGAGATTTTGGTGGTCCTTTCTCCACCATTCCAGAAGTGCCCCTTTATACAAACTTTATAACGGAGTTTTAGCACTTGGTTTTTTCATATGCTGAAAGTCTCAGGTATCACTGGCCTGTGAGAGGCCCTGATCTCTGAACATTGCTGATCTTGATTTCAGTTCTGAAAAAGGAGAGTGCTCTAGGTCCAGAAGACTTGAGAAATCAGAGTTCCTTGTCAGATGCTTTTGCGATAATGAAAAGAATGAACAGTGGCACAGTTTAACCTGATTTTCTGGCCATAAAAATAGAAAAATACTTTACAATGGTCTGTAGAAAGGTAATTGTAAAGAGAGTTTTAGTAGAGCTAAAGAAAAAAAAAGGCAAACTTCCTTTTTTTGCTGAATTATAACAACTAAGTTCCTATTTTTAGACTCAAGTTCAAAGGCTGGTTTTGTGTTATAACCCTGACCTGAATAAATGATGCAGTTTCTCAGCTTGTGTCGTCATTTGTGAAATGGAGATAATAGTACCCAGCAGGACTGCAGTGAATGGGGTAAATAAAATATAATGTAGGTGTGAATGTACTTGTAGACAGGAAAGTGCCACGCTTGGCTTATGCACAAGATTTGAGTTGTGGTTTATGGAAAGGTTTGTTAAAACATGTAATTAGAACATTTAACAAAGAAATGGGCCTTCCCTGGTGGCTCAGTTGGGAGAGTCCCCCTGCAAGGCAGGAGACCCGGGTTCAGTCCCTGGGTCCAGAAGATCCCCTTGGAGAAGGAAATGGCAACCCACTTCAGTATTCTTGCCTGGGAAATCCCATGAACAGAGGATCCTGGTGGGCTATAGTCTATGGGGTCACAAGAGTCAGACGTGACTTAGTGACTAAACCACCAACAAAGAAATATGTTGAATAGAAAACCCTGTAAAAATTTTCTTATAGATTTTTAAAAAATAAAAGTTGATTTAACTTTAAATTTGTTTTGAAAAGTTAAAAAATCTCACACATATACAGGGACACATCAGGCTGCTTCTCACCCCTGTCCCTCCCCCTCTCACCCGTGTTCTTCGCCCTCACCTCCGTCCCACCTGTTCCCTCCTCAGGGGGAAACATATTTCCTTTCCTGTCAGTATTCTCTTATCCAAATGTGTGAAAATATTAATAGGTACTCTCATAAATTATGTCTTATTTGCAATACCATCGTGAAGTAAAGGGTTACCACCGTCTCGTTGATCACAATTTTATAGCCAAGGAGCAGGGTTAGGGCTCAAATTCATGTTTGGTGATACAAGGTACCCATGGTTAATCCTGTTTTTCTGCCTGGTGAACTTTTTGTGAAACGTAAATCTTCCAGATAACTCTATATAGAGAGAGCACTTAAAAAAAAATTATCTGCCTTTCAGACTGGTGGACCAGACAATGTCCGGCTGACTTCTCGTCTGGGAGAGAAATACGTCAACATCATGAACATGCTTGTTTTCACACTGCCTGGAACTCCCATAACTTACTATGGGGAAGAAATAGGAATGAGAAACATTTTAACCGCAAATCTCAACGAAACCTATGATGTTGTAAGTTAATATAACTTAACCAGGCACCACACCTCATTTTTTTTGCCTGATCAAAGAATTTACTATTTCTATTCTGCTACCAAAATCATGATTACTTAGCTTTTGTTTCTTACTGTTAGGCAGTGAGAATTTTTCAGCTTTCTTGTTTAGAGAGCTTGTAAAAATGCTGCTCCCTGAGCCACACGATTGAGTTTTTCACATAGAGCCCAGCATCTGCATTTCAAAGATATTTTCTAGCCAATTCTCTGGCGAACTAAGATTTAAGAAGCCCTATTTTGAGTTTGGAATATTATTCATTGCCCTCTACCTGAAATATAGAGTTAAGAACACCAATCATAGTGCTTGTCTGTATTGCTAGATATGGCTTGGCCATAGTGCAAAGATTCTTCCTTTTATGTTAACAAATGTTATGTACAACCTTAGGCCTGAGTAGTTTAACTTTTATTTTCGTTTGAGGCTATGGATTTCACAATTATGTTGCTGAGCAGATAAATGATCTTGAACCTGTAATTTGTATGGTTAACTTTCCAATTTCCCTCGTATTTGGTCAAAATGAAACCTTTTCTATTTAAGCCCCTAAATTTTTGTATGTACTCATGCAGTAACCAGGCTAAAAAGGATATAATCTAGGTTTACGTGTACATGGCTGTATGCTGGAAGTCACCGTGCTGTATCACAGTAGAATGAGTCTGTAAGTGGCACGTTTTGAAATCCCACATTATTCATTTTTAGGGAAAACCAGCAAAGGTTCTAAGCATGTACTGATGTTCAGTTAGTAGTTTATTCACACTCAAGATGTCATTAACTGTTTTCCAATTAAAGTGTAAAGCTGGTTTTAAGTACTGAATGTTTAAAGCCTTTTCCTTATGAATGCTAATGAATGAGTACTAGCTGAGAAATTAGGGAGTTAAATACTTATTACTAATAAATCATGGCCAAACTACATTTCTTTTAATAACCAGATAACTGTTTTTTTCTTTATGGTCTTGACATAGGGTACTCTTTTCTCAAAGTCACCAATGCAGTGGGACAATAGCTCAAATGCTGGTTTTTCTGAAGGCAGTCATACCTGGTTACCCACCAGCTCAGACTACCATACTGTGAATGTTGATGTAAGTATCCGTGAAAATTTTATGCTAACTCCAGAAACAGGAAATGAGTTTCTGTTGCTGACAACACACACTCACCTTGAGTTGTCTAAAACCTCAACTGGTGTTCTTTAAATCAATCATATAGGCTTCTTTTGTAGTTTTCATTTTTAAGGAGTTTGCAAGTCATGTTTTTGTGAAAATACGAAGTGGTGCACAGCATTATCATATGGTATACAACTCATCATTGGAATGATTCTGAGGTATGAAATATTAAGCACATTTTATGGAGGTCTTTCAGCAAGCCCGCTATCCTTCCTCCTTTCCTATCTTTCCAAAGGAAGGAAGGAAAGGAGATCAATCAATCTAAAGTAAGATTCTTGAGAGCAAGGCTGTTTACCTATAGAAACTAAAGACATGAATTATCCCTAGAAGTAGCTGCTCTGGAAAAGCATACCCTCCAGCTTTTGCCTTTACTGTTTTCTGTTCTCATGGTGATTGAGTCTGCCAAGTTCAGCAAACAAATTTCTTAAACAGGAATGCATTAATTCCAGCAAAGAGCCAAACACATTTCCTCAGATCAGAAAAATGTGAAATAGTTTCAGGTGTTTTCATGGGGAAACACACTCTAAACTACTTAAGTGGAAGAGAAATTATTGGCATCATGTGAGGATACAAGTTTTATAGCATCTACTAAGTATTTTGAAAACTCTCCAGATTATTCTGACATAGAACTTCAAGTAAACCCTCCTGTTCCCACAACTTACAGCTCCAAGCACTGCAGGGATAGATTTGTAGGTAGGTCTGTGAGATACAAAATCTGTATTTTAACATTTGTGTTGATTTTCACTATGTCCAAATGTCCAGAATATTCCCATAGGCCAATTTGAATCTGATATGTAAGAAATCTTATGTAAAAATGTACACCAGCACAGATGGGAAAATGTAAATGCAAATTACAGTAATGGTCAGATTAGTCAAGTCTTTAAAATGATCATGAGTCATGCTTGGGGGGATGCTATAATCATAATCAAGGTGACCAAAAGTCTCAGGGAATGCCATTTTAATAAAAGACCTCCATAAGAGCCCTAGAATAAGGTGAGAATTTAATTTATAAAAGATAGAAAGTAAAATTAAGATTACAGAGAAACAAGAGCACCGAAACCAGTCTAAAATATGACGCAGGAGAAAACAGCACAGACGGGTCAGGTGAGAGCACTGCAGGAAGGCTCCTGCACCGCCGTAACTGGCTGCCCAAAAATCTGCCGGAGGAGAAAAACCCAGGGCCTGACTGGTGAGCAGACGTTCGTGGAATGAGTAGAGCAAAGCCTGAAATAGTGTTAAACTTCTACAAGCACACAAGAAAGAAAAGCAGCAGAATAAAAACCAGTTCTAGTGATGTCCGTGGGAGGATTCACTGAGGAATGATCTCAGAAATAAGAGCTTTTACACCTCAATTCACAGAGGCCTTAAAAGGAGGGCAGGACCCTAGGTTTGGTTACTATTAAGCAGGAAAAGAACCCCCAAACCCCCAAAGACAAACCAGACCCACCTCCAGCGTGGTTTTTTGCAGTTACTAGAGACAGGCAACTGAAAACAGGCAAACATGGAGTATCAAATACAAAAATAAATGAATTACTAAAAATCACACTACATTTGAGAACAATTAAGACCATGAGAGGGACTAAGAAAACCCTGAAGAAAGCAAAGAAAATAATGACATAAAACTTCATTACTAAAAAAATTGCCCCTTCCCTGGTAGGTTATTTTATGTAGTCCCTTAATTCTCTTAAATAAATGATTTGATATCTTAGAAATGTAAAAATATTGTCAAAATAAATAATAAAATAGAGATTCTAATTACTGTGCTGGAAAACTGACGCAAGATTTTATCCCAGAGTGTACTATAAAAAGGCAAAGAAGTTTTTTTAAACACAACATGATTGTATTTTAATACACAACCCAAATATAAAACACCATAAATGAAATGATGGCAATAAAATACGGTATTTATTTGTAAATGATTAACATCCTCAGTCATAAAAGAGTTGTTAGAACCAGTTACAAAGATACTGATATTCCAAGGGAAATGGGCGGGGGAGAAAAAGGCAAAGAAGTTAACAGTATAGAGAGAAAATTTTTGATATGTGGAGAATAAATCTAGGAATTCCAACATATAACAAAAAGTGAGTTCTAGAAGAGAACAGAGATAAAGAGAAAACCATAAAAATACACAGAAAGAAACGTGAAAACAGACTGCCTGAGAAAAGGACTAAAAATTGAACTGGCATCAGCTTTCTCAACTGGATACTAAAACACATTAGAACGTTACCTTCACAGTTGTAATGGAAACTTGATTCTACACCAAGAATCCTATATCCATTTAAACTGGCATTCAAGAGCAAAAATGGAAAAACAGGATAGAAATTTTACCATGTATAGCCAGTTTCTGAAAGAGAAATTGGGGACTCCAACAAAACCAAAAGGAATCTAAAAGGAAGATATGATGTATAAAATATAGTGAGGAAAGGAATCAGCAAAATTTAAGGATGAATAATTTTTTATATATAATGTAAAATAAGGTATTCTGGAGTAAAAATGCTAGTGATTTATTTCTATATGGGAAGTAGTGGCAGGGAAGGGGTGCGTGTGACAGCAAGTGAGTGAGCACATATGTGCGGGGGCTAATGCACTTTAGGAGGACGGAGACAGAGTAACTCACTCTAGAGTTGAGCTGTCCAGTAACCACCAATCACTGTGATAACTAAAATTAAACAGAATTAAAAGTTCAGCTCCTGTGTCACACAAGCAACATTTCAGGTGCTCAGTACAGCACAGATACGGAGCTTTCAGCGCTGCAGGAAGTTATACGGAACCGCATTGCTGTGTTAAGAAAAATGTTTTTAAATGGTCATTACAGTTTTAACGGTAACTATTAGAAGAACAGACATAAATGATAATTTTCAAAGGATATTAGAAGGAAAAAAAGTACATAAAGAAAGCCAAGTGCTCCAATATAAAGCTAAAAGAAAGAAGATAAAACAACAGGGCAGTTAAAATAAAAAGATGAAATAAGGCTATAGGACTATGTCTAAACATATGGTAATCACAGATATAAATGGCTTAAATTCACCTATTAAAAGATAAAAACTCTTGGATTAGAAAACAAAGACAAAATCTGACATAAGAGACATAGCTAAAACAAAAGGACCCAGAAAGATTGCCAGCTGACTATTGCTTTCACAACAAAAAAATGCATATACCTTTTAATTTAGTAATTTCATTCCTAGATATCTCTTCCAGAAGACTCTGAAAATGATTTCTATATTTTATCAATAGAAAACCAGTTGAATCAATTACAGTTAATCTATATAAGAGACAAGTATGCAATTTTTAATGCATATTAAAATCATATTCAGTGTGGATTGATATGAGACGACCTCTGACCTACTAAATAATAATAATAAAAAAAAGGCTACAGAATGGTAACATGCCACTATTTGTGTAAAGAAGGAAAAAGTATGTTTACCTATGTTTGCATAGGTACAGAATGTAACATTTCCTATGATACATAAAATGGAAGAATATATACACAGTAAGAGTGTATCTCTGGGAAGAGTAAATGGAAAGCTAGGGGAAGAGGTGAAGAAAACCATTTTATTTGTATATTTTTCTGATAGTTGAATTTTATATTGTATGCATGCATTGTCTATTTAAAAAAATAAAGTTACAAAAAGCAGGTGGGGAAATATTTAATAGCAGACAAAATAGAATTCAATATGAAAAGCATTATGAGACAAAGGCAGTTTTCAAGAATTGATACAAGAACATTCCACTATAAATCATGAATCTATGCATCTAACAATAGCTTCAAAATATAAAAAACAAGTACTCTGAGAATTTTAAAGAGAAACTAAGAAATCACAATTACAGAGAGAGGCTTGAACATACCTCTAGAAAGTGGTAAATCAAGTAGACAAGAGTAACAACACATACTGGGCACTTTTTATGTAAGTGGCACTGAACTATGCTTTTTCATGCATTATCTAAGGCTATACAAAATGTTAATAGTGAGTTGACAAGTCATATACATATATCATATACATGTACCATAAATACCTCTGTACCTGATAAACACAGAATAGACATTTGTTTCAGACATTTATTAAATACCACACATTAGACACCTGCCCCAAATAACTACCACTACTGCTGAAGTCAACATGACTGGCAAGACTATAATGAATGAATGTTATCACTGACTTGGTAACTGCTTACATGAAGACAAATCTGGCATTATGTATCAAGTATCCATACTCCTTGATACAGTAATTGTCTTTCTGATATTTGTGTCATAAATAAATAATGCAAATATGGGGGAAGCATACTAGAAACTCAAATGTCAAAATGAAAGGTAATGGTTAAGTATGGTATAACCATTCAACTGGATGATTCTTCCATTAAAATGACATTTAATAACAGAAGATGTTTGAAATGTTAAAGGAAAAAAACAAGAAAAATTTAACATTAAATTATGTCTGTTTTATATAGCTATAAAATTTACCTCAATCTTCTTTCATGGACATATATTACTTTTATGGGTAAAAAAAAAAGAGGGTGCAATCTCTTTCACTTTAGACAGTATTTTGCTTTGCATCCCTTTTTGCAATTTTCTGTTCATAACTAGCATCTCCTGAAGTTACACCAACCTACACATTATTCTACAAAAAAGAACAGAGAGACCCCAATTCAACAGAAGTCCTTGGAGTCCATGGCCAGGATGGCTGCTTTTCTGCCAGTTAAATGTAGCATAAAGGGATTTATTTAGGCACGTTAAATATCCATTAAATTAGATACGGACATTTAGTGGAGTCAAATTTGACATCCAAATCAGCTGTGGCCAAAATGTAGCAGAAAACTGCACTCTGCAGGACTCCCAGACAAGGTGAAACTCTGTATCCGTAGTTGCTATTAGTAGCTAAATAAACTATTCCGTTCAGTCTCTCAGTCATGTCTGAGTCTCTGCTACCCCATGGACTATGCTTCCCTACTTAGTCATACTTAAAATTTAGTAGTTATTTTAAGGGACAAAATTGAAGCAAGTTTTTTTGGGAAATAATTCTTGATACTCTGAGAATCAAACATTTATGTTAATATTCTTTTTTTTTTTTTAATAGGTCCAAAAGACTCAGCCCAGATCAGCACTGAAGTTATATCAAGAATTAAGCCTGCTTCATGCCAATGAGCTGCTCCTCAGCAGGGGGTGGTTTTGCTACTTGAGGAATGACAACCACTCTATCATGTACACAAGAGAGCTGGATGGGATAAACAGAGTCTTCCTCATGGTTCTGAATTTTGGAGAATCATCACTGCTAAATCTAAAGGAAATGATTTCAAATATTCCCACAAGAGTGAGGATAAGGTTAAGTACCAATTCTGCCTACAGTGGCCGTGAAGTTGACACGCATGCTGTTACACTGGCCAGTGGAGAAGGACTCATCCTTGAATACAACACTAGGAATCTCCTTCATCGTCAAACAGCTTTCAAAGATAGATGTTTTATTTCCAACAAGGCATGCTATTCCAGGGTATTAAACATACTGTACAGCTTGTGTTAGGCACCTCTATGAAAGAGATGGAGGCACTGGCATTCTGTTCTAGTCTAAGCATTTGCAGTAACTTCACATATAGCAGCATGCTGCTGGGTAAACTTTATGAGTGGTCATTAATTCTTTTGGGTTTTTTTTGGCTGCACCATATGGCATGTAGGATCTTAGTTCCCTGGCCAGGGGTCAAACCTGTGCCCCCTGCATTGGGAGCATGGAGTCTTAACCACTGGACTTCCAGGGAAGTCCCGAATGGTCATTAATTCTGAGATATTTCTGTAACTTGAGTGAAACTGCTTTAGGGAAGGTTCTTAAATTGTTTTTCAAGAATAATAAAATGTTTAAAAGAAAATGATCACTTGCAGGATCTTGTAACTTTTTGAAATAGCATCAATAAGAGATGATCAGAGCACCAAGGACTCCAGATGATTAGAAAGATCTAATGAATTTTAATGGGAAGCACGTTACCTTCTTCCAGAAAATGCGGGTATAGAAACTGGAGGATGACTTAATTGCCAGAGTGCCTAAAATTTTTCACTAGCAGAAATAGGACCTTGATATGTAAACTGTTCAAAGAAAATCACAGTAAAACTAAGCTGTACTGCTGTCAGCAGTCCTTCCCCCACTGCCTTCTCTATGTGCTTCTACGCAGCATGGTTTGAAAGTTACTTTCCTGGGTTAAGGGCTATGTGCCTCAGTGGAGACACTGGTATAAGCAAGTGAGCTGTTTATGAAATCAAATTTGGATGGGGAATAAACTTTTTAAAAAATTTACTAACTTAAAAAACTCACTTTTGTGAACATAATTGGAAATATGACTATGAAAGACTTCAGTGTGTTTCCAGTTCCCAATGAACGCAGCATTTCAGAATTTTAGATATTTCTTAAGATTATCGAAAACACTGGTGCTGTCAAGTCCAAGTTCCTCATACAGGAATTTAATTTGGGCTGTAATCTAAAAGAAACACGTTAAAAAAAAATTAGAAGGCCTTTGTGGTAAAACTCCAGTGTTCCAAGTCTCTCCTTGTCTATCCATCTTCACACAACTATGAAATCAGCAATTTATGGCAAGAGAATTTTTTTATTTGGCACAGAGGTGGAAGCTCCCAATGACAGATTCCATTACTTTCTCTGACTCATTCATCAGGAACCTTTCCTCTTTACTGACTCAGCATTTGTCCTCTTCCAAGTCTAAGCCACAGACCCAACAGCTGGTGAAGTAGCCTGCACAACCCTGTGTAACCACAGTACATCACTACTTGGGGATCTACCACCTTAGAGGGGCTTGACAACATACCTTTTTGTGAGAATCCTCAATCACATGGTTGCCTCCAGGCTGAATATCTAAAATAATATTGGGGACTTGATAGCCTGAAAGAGTTAACATATGAAACAATTAGAAGGGTTTTGGCTAATTGAGACCCACCCCTTTCACCCCTCTCCTTTTCAAGCACTCTATTAAAATAATAGTGAAACTTTTGCTACCGCTAAGTCGCTTCAGTCGTGTCCGACTCTGCAACCCCATAGACGGCAGCCCACCAGGCTCCTCTGTCCCTGGGATTCTCCAGGCAAGAATACTGGAGTGGGTTGCCATTTCCTCCTCCAATGCAGGCATGCTAAGTCACTTCAGTTGTGTCCGACTCTGTGCGACCCTGTGGACAGCAGCCCACTAGGCTCCTCTGTCCACGGGATTCTCTAGGCCAGAATACTGGAGTGGGTTGCAACTTCTTCTCCATAACAGTGAAGAAGAAAGGCATAAACCATCACCACCACCACTAACAAGAAGAGGTGGGGGGTGGGATGGGGTGGGGAGCAGTAGAAAACAAATTTCTGAAATAGGAAATGTAGGAGGAGGCCCAGACAAAGGAAGGTGGATGGAAAGATCATAGGGCCACATGGAGAAGGTTGTGACCTAGGAAGAAGCTAATGGCTCCTATGGAACCTGAGAGCCCTGTGACTTAGAAACACCAGCTATAGCAATGGGTGCAAGTGAGATGTGGAATTGAATAGAAGGCAACTGTGTGAAAACTTTATATGTGAGCTCTTTCCACCCTGAGCCCAGACGCTCCCATGTCTTGACAAGGAAGAAAAGGTAAGAGTTCTTTAATACAATTGAAAGATCTAGAGAAAATTAGAGCTGCTATTTTGGGCATGGAAGCTCCAGAGCAAAAACTTAAAAGAACCCCAAGAATAACAGCTCAATTAATTTTGTTAAATGAATGAATGGTATGATAATAGTATGATACTATACCTCCAAGTTATGTTTGATAAATTTAACTTTTTTCTTTGTGCCTTGCCTACCTTTTTAATGCTGTCCTTTGAAAAAGAGGCAAGGCAACTATAGTCATTACATTTGCTTCTGCTGGGTAGTCAACACAGGGAAAACAGTGATTTGCCTATGATTCTGGGTGACTCATTTGGTCTGCAGCGCGAGATGTACTACTCTGAGCAGTACTGACGGTGATGGTCCCCCGCTCCCGGGTGGGTTCCTACCTTCCCCGGTGTCCTTAGCATGCTCTGCGATGGCTTCCTTGAGTTTCTCCATATAGTTTACGATTCCTTTCAGAGGTACACGTTCGTCATTTTCATAAGCTGTGATGTGAATTGAAGGATAATGCTGAAAGGGAAGAGATGTACAAAGAATTCCTTATGATCTCATTCCTTATGGATTATGAAAAACAATTATCTCTATTTTTTTCCCCTAAGTGATACTTTTTTTTCCTCCTCATTTGATATTTTTGAGATTTACAGCATCCCGATACTAGACTATTTGTTACCTGGATAACCTTTTCTTGACTAGTGAGACCCTGATCTTACCGAATCTAGTCTCCTGAGCTATTAAGTTGAAACAAGCAAGAAGTATGAGCAGAGAAGGGGCTGAGAGGTGTCTGAGTACTATAAGGAGACACAGCATTAAGACCTTACTAAATTCCTGCTTCACCTCGGGTAAACATCCTTCTAATGATTTTCTCTGTCACTTCAGGATAGTATCACAACTGCCTTTCACTACCTGAGGTTTAATATTTTGATAGGGACAGTAACGTTTTATGTAGTTCTTGTGTTTTTCATCAGATGAAGGATTCCCCCATTCTTCTAATTCTTCTAATGTCAGAGGAAGTGTAGTGTCCATCATGGTGTTGAGAACATCCAAGAAAGGTGCCTTAAAAAAAAGTCAGAGAGATGTAAACTTCAATTAATAAATTTGTAAAATGAGTTTCAGATAACACTATACTTTATGAATATACATGCTGACATGAGAGAACAGAGCTCAAGCAGCCATGTACATTCCCAGGAGCCAGATTAATTACCCAGTCCGTAACCAGGGCCTGAGATTTGTAACTGGCTTTTAAGGTATTCAGACTCTTTGAATGACAAAAGGTTTATCTTCCAATTTGCTTTTAGTTTTCTTTTTCTCATATAAGTGCTGCCATCTTACATCCACTAGGCTCTATTAAGAAAAGTGTTGGCAAGGACGTGGAGAAATGGGAACACTTGTGCATTGTTAGTGGGGATGTAAGATGGTGCAGACAGTATACTAGTTTCTCAAAAAATTAAACTCAGAATTGCCACATGATCCAGCAATTCTATTCCAACGTGTATACCCAAAGGAAACCAAACCAGGGTCTTGAGGAGTACACCCCTGTTCACAGCGGTACTGGAAGTAACCCGACGGTCCACTGATAGATGGATGGATAAGCAAAATATAAATGCAGTGATACAGTGAAATTCACCCTTAGAAAGAAAGACACTTGCTGCAACACAATGGGCCTTGGGGAAATTATCTAAGTAAAAATAAACCACTTGTAAAGAGACATATATTGTATGATTCCATTTATATAGGAGGTACCTTAGCGTAGTCAAATTCAAAGAAAACTAGAATGGCGATTACCAGAGCCTAGGGGAGGAGGGGTAGTGGGAGAGTTGCTACTTAACGGGTACAGTGTTTCAGGTTTGCAAGATTAGTTACAGAAACTGACTGTACAACAATGTGAATGTACTTAACACTACTGAACTGTACACACTTAGAAATGGTTATGATGATAAATTTTATGCTGTATTACCACAATTAAAAATAAAATTCCCAGAATACACGAATAAACTCAGTTGGACACTTTACATTATAAAAAGGTAATAAATGCTAACTGAAGAAAATCTGAAAACTATCCAAGTTGAAAAATAAAATCACTCATTGGCTTATAGCAAGTGTTAAAAGAAATGGCAGCTGCTTTGTTCATGAAGCCATTATAATCTTCTGATAACCTGTTTTTCAGCTTTGTTTTCTATTAACATTAAGCAAGAACATTGGGCAAATGCAATTCTTTTTGTCTGCCTGCTATCTTTGATTTAGCTTCTTTTTTGCATTTAGAGTATCCCTAACCTTTTGACACTGGCTGCCTCTTAGGTGCTAAATGCCAGATAGGTCCCGTCCCATCTTTGCCTCAGAGTGAAAGTAGCCACATAATTTAGTTTTACCAATCGGACATAATATGCTCCAAATTCTGAATGAACTGTTGGATATTTAGGTTAACTCCAGATCTTCACTGTTACAAGCAATGTGGGGTAAATATCCTTATACACACATTTCTGATGATTTCCTTTCTGACTTCTAAAGTCAAAGTAATTTCTCAAAGTCAAAAGTTGGTCACATTTCCTTTATAATTCTGCCATTATTATCTTTTTGCATGGAGTTTTTTCCCTTCTATACTTAATATTTCTATTAAAAACAGATTTACAGGGTAAGATTATTTAATACTTATTTACTTCATACAAGCCTATAGTATACCCCACACCCTCAAAATTAAAAGAAAAAAAACCCTGAAAATCATTTTACTCTATCCTAATTATCTTCTAGAGTTATCTACTGCAGAAGAACAAAATTTGCCACCCCCAGATTATTTTAAGCTGAAAATAATCAAGGTCAAAAAAGTCTCAGAAAGAAACTTTGACCTCTTCTATAACTGCCTGAAGAATTAAGACAGAGGGCTTATTACAGGACTATCACCAGATAATAAATATGGATGACATGTGCTGGGGAAATGCTTAGAGACCAGAGTCCACTCTGTGTTCCCTGGTCTCTGCTAACAAACATTTGTTTACCAGACTTTCACTTTTCCATCTCCACGTGAATTGCCTTCTGTCTCCTGAAGAAACAAATCAGTACCTCTAACATCCTTTTTCACCTTTAGCTGAAGACAGTATTAAGGTGAGAGCTCTGCTCATTGTGGTGAGTCACTCAGTTTTCCTGGGCCTCTCACATGTATACATGTCACTAAACTTTTGTTTCATTTTCTTCTGTTAATCCTCCTTATGTCAATTTAATTCTTAGACCAGCCAGAAGAACCTAGAAGGGAACAGGAAAATGTCCTCTGCCCCTACACTAACCAGGAAGCAGGAGAATGGTGGAGGTGAATGAGCTGCTGTAATTTCATAATTTTGGACACCAGCAAAAGACTATATAGAGCCTTCCCAGAACAGGTCAAGGTATTTCAACTGAAGTACAGAAAAACTACTCCTAAAGACCATTAATAAGAATGGAGTATCTGAAAATAGAGAGTCCCTAAATCCAGGACTGAAATGTCGATGCCAACAGAGCCAAAGGATTTCATACATTCCAGAGTCAGTGTGTTGGGCCTGACTTCCTAGATATTCCTAGATCTGGTGTGTCATATATGCTTTGCTGCTCTTCCACCAATTCTAAATGCTCTTACAGATATAAAATGATCAATGAGAATAGCCCAGTGGAAATCCTTAAAAATCAATAAAGAATACTGTCAGGAAGTTCTCCCATAGCTACAATTCTCTGTTTAAAATTTAAAAGCTCTGCTATACTTCTATGCAATGGTAAAACTGGAACAGAAAATTTTTCTTAGAGCATCTATTACTTCACGCCTCCCTGTTTGTTAAACAGTAGAGATAGAGTACTCACCTCCAAAGTCACAGCTCTCAGCAGTTCCGGATTAGAATTACACAATGCTCCCACAAGCACCCCTCCAGCACTGAAAGCAGTCAGGGCTGTTAGACTTGGCTGAGAAAAGCCTTGGTCATGAAGCGTCTTAATGCAAGCCTCTAAGTCAGCAAGGCCATTGAGTTTTTTAGTTACCCGGCCATCAGCGTGCCACTGGAGGCCTAACTCACCACCTCCCCTGAAATTAAAGGGCAAAAAAGTTTTAGTGGGGAAGAAATATTAATGATATAGGTCAGGGTCAGCAAACTATAGCCTGTGGGCTAAATTTGCCCAGAGACCTGTTTTTATATGGCCCTTGAGCTAAGAAGGATTTTTATATTTTTAAAGGTTGGGGAAAAAAACAAATATCAACCAGGAATATGCAGTGGAGACCATATGTGGCCTGCAAAACTTAAAATGTTTACTATTTAGTTCTTCAGAGAAAAAGTTTGCCAAGCCCTGATGTAGACAATCAAAATATTCAACAAATATGCTTTGAGTGCCTGCTTGCTATTTAACAGGCATTGTGCTAAATGCAGGCCTTAAAAATATAAACAAGTAGAAATCCTCTGTCTTGGAGGTCATAATTTTTCGGGGAAAAACAGCTACCAAGCAACACGGTTACTGCTATAACAGAAGCAGAACCAGAGCAGAGACTATCCACCTGTCTATATATGTGAGTCAGGAACATGAGTGCTTTAAGGAGATGACACCTAAGCTGAGTCTTGAAGGAAGAATGTGAGTTCCCAGAAGAGCAAAGAAAGGGATGACATCATCAACTCAATGGACATGAGTTTGAGCAAACTCTGGGAGACAGTGAAGGACAGGGAAGCCTGGCGCGCTGCAGTCCATCAGGTCACAAAGAGTCGGACATGATGGAGAAACTGAACAACAACAAAAAGAAAGGGAAGGCATCAAGACACAGCATGTGGGAGGTCACAGAGGTTGTCATTTCAAATGATGTAGCAAAGGCTGCATGTGTAGGATGTACATGGCTGCAGAAGAGGGCGTATTTGGGGAATGCTGACAGACGCCACTATGAAGATAAGCCACATCATTAGGATGTTAATATGGAGGATTTGGATTTTATTGTGGAGATGGGAAAGTGGTAAAGAATTTAAACAGAAACAAAATACTATTTGTGTCTTGGAATCAGCAAAATAATATGGAAATTAGAGTACAAAAAAGGGAGTCCAGCTTAAGAAGCTATTTTAGAAAAATCCAAACTCAGGAGAATGAAATGGAAACACTAATGTAGTTAAGTACAGACATTGGTCTATCTATTCTAAAAATTCAAAAAATCTGGTGTAAAATCCTAAAAAGATACCCTTTCGCTTCTGGGATTGATCAATCCCAGACCCAGTGTTCTGCTAGTGAACCAGGTTCCACTAGCACAGGTTTAGGAGCACAAATGAGCAAATCAACGTTCACTCCCCAGCATCTCGTTATTCCGGACATGTGATGATGCTCCAGCCCTCACATGCCACATAAAACATGACTCACCGAACGTGGCAATATGCTAATATCCAGCCATCATCCACCAACACCCGCCTTTCAGGCCTGAAATTCATTTTCAAATCCATTCCATAAGCTCCATATACTTGTACCAGGAGAGGTTTCTTCTGTAAGTCCTCAGAATCCGTTTTATGGAAAACAGTCATTGGCACTAATTTTCCATCCTGGAAAGGAAGATGTATTATGCAGGTAAAGAAGTCTTTTGAAACAGTTTTATCCCCAATTTTATTTGTTGCTTATTGATGTTGAGCAGCAACTTCATTTAATTAAGACAAAAGAGTTATGGTCTCTAAAAGTCCATCAAGGTCCTTAATTTTCAGCTACTCTGCTGACACAATATTAGAGTAACTAGAAAAGATAGTAAGACTCTGGCTTGAAAATGGTTTATTAAATGTAGCTTTTCATGATGGTTAAGTAACTTTATAACAAGGTCTTCACTACTCAGTTTAACTGTTTTTCTTTCAGGACAAACCAAAGTAACTATCAAGATTACATATATTAGCATAGTATTCTTCCTATACCTCAGGTTACAAATGAGCATTTCCTATCTTTGAATATATACAAATACGTTAACTAAAGAAGTTTAAACAACTCAGTTTTTGGTACTCAACTGTCAGAAATCTCAGTCATTAAAACCTGAAATCTCTTACTAACCTAACACCCACTCACATCCTCTTCATAGACCTATTTAACTTTATTTTTAAAATGTTTCAAAGTGGTTCAGGTTTTATAAATTTTAACATCTAAATTATTTTTAAGTCAAACAACTGTACCTCAGTGTAGTTCTCTGGACAGATAAAATTAAGATAATATGAACTATATCTGATCATCCTTTCACAGAAAAAGGGTAGAAATGTTGGTTATCACCCTGCTTACAGAAACTAAGAAAAAAGCACTAGTTTACATAAGGAAAAGAATATAACCATACCACTCTAATGTTTTTTCACTCTCATTTTGAAAACTTCACTTTGGGGCACTAGCGTGTTACCAAGTAAGGAAGAACTCTTCCCCTCATTATTATACTCAACCTGTTACAACAGTGTAAATGAATTTTTACTTCTCAGTGAGGTTCATCATTATAAAATGATATAGGTGAATTTCTATAAAATAATCCTTCCCCCCTTCTAGCTTAACTGTTTTTTTTTGGTCGCGCTGGTCTTCCCTGTAGCATGCGGGCTTGGCTGCCCCACTGCAGGTAGGACCTCAGTTCCTGACCAGAGATCAAACCCGAGTCCCGTGCTCTGGAAGGTGGAATCTCAGCCACTGGACCACCAGGCAAGTCCCTCTAGCGTAATCCTTTTTAAAAAATAATTTTATTGACTTATTTTTGGCTGTGCCGGGTCTTGCTTGCTGTGTGGGCTTTGCTCTAGTTGTGGCGAGCGGGGGCTTCTCTCTAGGTGCGATATGCAGGCTGCTCATTATGGTGGCTTCTCTTGTGGAGCACAGGCTCAACAGCTGTGGCACACGGGCTGAGTTGCTCTGTGGCGTGTGGGATATTCCTGGATCAGGGATCGAACCTGTGTCTCATGCATTGACTGGTGCATTCTTTACCACCGAGCCACCAGGGAAACCCCCTAGCTTAACTCTTGATCATTCTAGAGGCAATACTTCCTCAGAGAAGTCTTCCCCATTTCTGCAGATGAGGTAGGGTCCTTTTACCATATGTTTCCACTGTCCTCAGTACATCTTCCTTAGCAGCAATCAGGACATTAGTAATTACTTCTTCAAAATCTTGCATCTTCCCCACTAGATTTAATATCCACAAGGGCAGGGGCTATCTTAGCCTGCTGCTGCTGCTGCTGCTGCTAAGTCGCTTCAGTCGTGTCCGACTCTTCGCGACCCCGTGGACTGCAGCCCACCAGGCTCCTCCATCCATGGGGTTTTCCAGGCAAGAGTACTGGAGTGGGGTGCCATTGCCTTCTCCATATCTTAGCCTCGTTCACTCTAATTGTTTATTACCTTCAAAATTTTTGCCATAATGACACACAAACTATTTTTTTCCTTAAATCAACTTTTAATACTTAAATATACATAATACACAAAATCAAGGCCTTGCTAAGCTGGTTAAAGGGCTTCCCAGGAGGCGTTAGTGGTAAAGAACCCAACTGTCAATGCAGGAGATGTAAGAGATGTGGATTCAATCCGTGGAGGAGGGAAGATCTCCTGGAGGAGGGCATGGCAACCCACTCCAGTATTCTTGCCTGGAGAATGCCACAGACAGAGGAGCCTGGTGGGCAACAGTTCATTGGGTTACACAGAGTTCAACACGACTGAAGCGACTTAGCACTCATGCAGGTTATAAAATTTCTAATCCATGTTAAAATAAATGCATGAGTATTCAAGTTCAAAGAAAAGTCCATTTACCTCCTAAAATGATTTGAGTCTTGCAGTGGAATGTGAGATCCACTTTACTAATCTGTGCTAATGTAATCCCATCGGGGGCATTAATAATTAACAAACAGAATCTTTTCAGTAAATGGCGGGGCTGACAGTGGGGATCACAAAAACTTACCTTGCTTTTGGCTTCCATACGTAAAACACGACTAGTCTTTGTTATTGGGTCTTCATGCCCAGTTTCCTCAAATAGTTTGCCTTCTGCAAACTTATATGTATAGTATTTCGGGGGACGTATTGGAGAGCAAAGCTGAAAGGGGCAGTTCTTTGGGTCTGAATTTGTATCTATTATGAATCCACAGGCCCAAGGCGGGAGCTAAAGAAATAGAACAGTTAGCTGTACTCTTTATTGAGACACTAAGTATTATTAATTAAATTTCTGGGTATGCTCCAAACAAGATGATGTAGATATCAAGTTTATTTTTATCCACTTTCATCTAATGCCTCATTTAAGGATTACTTCAGTACAACAAAAAAATATTTCAAGTGAAAAACGAAACAACACTAGTGACCAATAAAAATAAGAAAAAAGTATAGGAAAATGGTTTATCATGATTCTAGATTGACTTGAAATGTCCTTTAATAATAAAAGTTTATCTGGGGATATAGAAACTTGGGCAATGAAACAACAAAAAGATTAACAGCCAATCAAGTAGGAATTCCAGAACCCAAAGATATCCTCGCGATCTCTCTTCTCATAGAACATGAGATCTCTCACTTGTGGTTTTAATACTTTACCCAGCAGCCCTTCTCTACTGCCTGGACAGCCCCAGGGACGACAGTCATTATTCCAGGACTACAAACTAGCTCAGCAGCACTAAAGCATTTACAATTTGTTTTTAACTTTAGCTCCCAGGCTAACCATTGTGCAGAACAAAACCTTTCCCGCACACCTACTCTGAGAGACTCACTGCTATTATGATTAAGATTGTTAACTTTAAGAAAAAAGGAAAAGAAATCAAAATTTATTCTCTCAGAGCAGCAGGGTCCAGCCTCAAGCCTTCCACTAACATCCCTCTTACACCTTTTAAAAGAACTCTAGTAAGCAGGCTGACGGTATGTTAGAAATGGTACTGAGAGTCAGAATATTTCAAAGAAAATTGCCTTTCTTTTCCTGAGTAATTGTAGAAACAGCAAATTCCTTAGAAAATCAGAGGTCTTGGCACAGCAACGTCACTGGTGGGCACTATTCAGAGAGGATACATGGGGGATGTGTGCATAAAGAGTGTACCATTTAACCTGTAGAAACTATGGTTAAAGAGCTTAGGTTCACAGAGAAAATTTCTTGTAATTAATCCAAAGAATCCACTGCTGTAAAGTACTAGAGACATATATTTGCATTGTCTTTCTAGAAGAGTTCCTAATTTATTTGCTTCAGACTGTGGATTATTTTCAAGGATAATTTGTTTATTTAAATATTATTTATCTATAATGTATACAACCATAACTAGAAAGAAAAATGTAATCATGAGAGTTAAAAATCATTTTTGTTTTAGAACATTTATATAGCTTTTTAAGACACCAGACATTACATTTGATAATTTGACTTCATGAAGTAGATGGAAAATTCTGGCTGTTTTATTTAGGTCCTCATTCTTTCTTATTTATGCCACTAGATGTTGTTTAGTAGCTCAGTCATGTCCGACTCTTTGTGACCTCATGGATTGCCACACACCAGGCTTCCCTGTCCTTCACCATCTCCCGTAGCTTGCTCAAACTCATGTCTATTGAGTCAGTGATGCCATCCAATCATCTCATCTTCTGTGGTCCCCTTCTCCTCCTGCCTTCAATCTTTCCCAGCATCAAATTATTTTCCAGTGAGTCGGTTCTTCGTATCAGGTGGCCAAAGTATTGGAGCTTCAGCTTCAGCATCAGTCCCTCCAATGAATATTCAGGATTGATTTCCTTTAGGATGGACTGATAGGATCTCCTTGCAGTCCAACGGACTCTCAAGAATCTTCTCCAAAACCACAGTTCAAAACCAGCATGCCCACACAGTCTTAATGATCCCTCTCTGGATAAAGGCAGCTAACATTAAGAGAAGGGGGAAAGATAAATGAAGACTAGAGACGTAGCTTATGGGGAGCTGAGCTCTTTATTTTGTTGGCCTGTATATTTTTCATTCCTGAAAAACTGGAATATGCAAGAGGTGCTGTGATAACCCTTCTCCAGCCCTGTAATGCTCATATAATCTGAGAAAGAGAAGGGAAATATATAAATTAATTTTTTAAAGATTTAGTATTGTGTTAAAATGTCGCCTTGTCTCCCTTCTTTGCTGAATGATTTTTTTGTTGGTTTTTCATTTGTTAGATGATGGTTGAGCTATAAATAATGGCTTGGGGGAGGTATATCCATTCTGAGAGTGTATGTTAAGAGCTGAAGGGGAGCTACTTGAGATGACTTAAGAATCATCCCATGCAAATACATTGTTTTGCTCCAATAAAATACTCGAAAAGCTGAAAAAAAAAAAAAGCATCAATTTTTCTGCACTCAGCCTTCTTTATGGTCCAACTCTCACATCCATACATGACTAGGAGCAAGCATCTTTTAATTTCATGGCTGCAGCCACCATCCACAGTGATTTTGGAGCCCAAGAAAATAAAGTCTCTCACTGTTTCCATTGTTTCCCCATCTATTTGCCATGAAGTGATGGGACTGGATGCCATGATCTTCTTTTTTTTGAATGTTGAGTTTTAAGCCAGCTTTTCCACTCTCCTCTTTCACCTTCATTGAGAGGCTCTTTAGTTCTTCTTCGCTTTCTGCCATAAAGGTGGTGTCATTTGCATATCTGAGGTTATTGATATTTCTCCGGCAACCTTGATTCCAGCTTGTGTTTCATTCAGCCTGGCATTTCACATGATGTACTATCAAATAAGTTAAATAAGCAGGGTGACAATATACAGCTTTGATGTATTTCTTTCCTAATTCAGGACTAGTCTGTTGTTCCACGTCTGGTTCTAACAGTTGCTTCTTGACCTGCATACAGGTTTCTCAGGAGGCAGATAAGGTGGTCTGGTATTCCCATCTCTTTAAGAATTTTCCACAGTTTGTTGTGATCCACACAGTCAAAGGCTTTAGCATAGTCAATGAAGCAGATGTTTTTCTGGAATTTCCTTGCCTTTTCTATGATCCATCGGATGTTGGTAATTTGATCTCTGGTTCCTCTGCCTTTTCTGAATCCAACTTGAACATCTGGAAGTTCTCAGTTCACATACTGTTGAAATCTAGCTTGGAGATTTTGATCATTACTTCACTAGCATGTGAAATGAATGCAATTGTGTGGTAGTTTGAACATTCTTTGGCATTGCCCTTCTTTGGGAGTGACCTTTTCCAGTCCTGTGTCCCCTGCTGAGTTTTCCAAAATTGCTGACATACTGAGTGCAGCACTTCACCAGCATCATCTTTTAGGACTTGAAATAGCTCAGCAGGAATTCCATCACCTCCACTAGCTTTGTTCGTAGTGATACCTCCTAAGGCCCACTTTACTTCACACTCCAGGATGTCTGGCTCTAGGTGAGTGATCACAGCATCGTGGTTATCTGGGTCATGAAGATCTTTCTTGTATAGTTCTTCTGTATATTCTTGCCACTTTGTCTTAGTATCTTCTGCTTCTGTTAGGGCCATACTGTTTCTGTCCTTTATTGTGCCCATTTTTGCATGAAAATGTTTCCTTGGTATCTCTAATTTTCTTGAAGAGATCTCTAGCCTAGATCTCTATGCCACTATAACAGTCTCAAAACTAACCTCCATACCCCTCATCTCTTGGTGCTTCTGTGTACTCTAACGTGGCTGCCAGACAACCTTGTGAAGTACAGTATGCCTCCTCAAATTATTCCCCTGCCTTCAAACTTCAAATTTTCCCCTCTTCATAATTTACGCATAAATTCATCATGCTGACAGTCAAAGAATGCCAAATCATAGCTTCATCCCCTAGTAATTTGTTCTGCTTCAATAAAAGTGATTTATTAGCAGTTTCCTGAATATTTTCCTAAGTTCTCCAGCTTAGAGCTTCATTTGATGGACTTTCTCATCCTAGAATACTATTCCTTTCCCTACCCAACAAAACCCTATCTATCTTCTTTGGTTATCTCAAATTCTACTACCCCCTAAAGTTTTTTGGGGCCCTCCGGGCCTCATGGCACATTTTATGTTTTTAATCCCACTTATTTAAACCCATCCTATACTTAATCTTTGTGTACAAGTCTAATCTCATGATAAATGGTATTCTCCTAAGGCCAGGTATTTTGACTTACTATCTTTCCATTCCAGAGAGCCCAATACAGAGCTCTGCACATAGAAATTTAATAAACATCCAGTGAATTTACTGGAATTGCATTTTAGCAAAAATTGTCATAACACTATAGATAGGGAGGTACAAATGGCCTGTCTGCTGGTCATACAACTCCTTCCACATCAAGCGAAACAGAGGCCTCTCTTCCCTTCAGTGCATGTTACCTTAACTCACATATTATGCTGCTGTAAAACTGGGCAATGATGTTACCATTCACAGTTCTATAAAATTGGCAAAGAGATGATACAGACACAAACAAGCGTGGCAGAAACACTGTAGTAGAAACACGGGAGGCATGCCTACTGTCTGGGATGGGAGGAGGAGGTAGTGGTTAGGCTCCAGCTGCCAAGCTGGCCTGAGTTATGACTATATCTGAGGTTGTAGAGACACATGATACAGAGATATGTAGAAAGAGAAACCCAATGGCACTTAACTCTACTTCTGAAGTCCATCCTATACAGCGGTTATTTTTCAGTGCAGTAAAAGCAAAGACTTCTAAAAGTAATTCTAAAATAAACCTCCTAAACCTGATGAAGACCCACTATACTAAATTCTATTTAAATTAATTTCTAAGAAAAAGTACATTGCTATTATTCAAAATTTGATGTTCTGTTAATACTGCATGTATGCTGATTAACAGAATTATCTTTCGAAAATTAAACATACCTTTAGAGACCGAACTGAATCGTCAGCCAGACCAATCACGTTAACATAAAGTAAATTGCTATGCTTCAGGAAGAGAACACAATGATCCTTAAACATGTCCAAATCTACAACTTTGGTATTTCTCTTCATCGTGAAAAACAAATCCCAATTCATAATAGCAGGGGCATCAGCTGCTGTTCTCATTAGCTGTGTGGAACAAAATCAGACGAGATCAGAAATGATGACTACAGCATCCACCGATGAAACCACTGAAAATCAGACCTTATTAGTCTGCACTGTTAATGAAGAGCTGAAGGAACTTAACTCTGCATCAGGGCTGAAGTGTGAACGTCACCTTAGGAATGAGCCCTGGCTAGCCTGCTGGGGGGTATGATGCAGTGCTTAGCTGACGGTCAAGCACCGAGAGCCAGCTGACTGTGGGGCCATCACTGAGCCTAGCCGAGACCATCAGAGGAACTGCCCGAGATCAGTCCAAACTGCTGACTCACGAAATCCAAGTTTATAAAAGTTTAAAAAGTTTGTTAAGCCACTAAGTTTGGCTTTGATGACTAACATTATTTAGGATAGGGAATGTTTTCCTTTGCTAACCTTTTTGGGTATAGTAAAATATGAAGAGGTATATTAGCTCTGAGGGAAGAGAAATGGGATTGGTTATACATAGGAAGGTAGCATCAGTTTTAAATGACCCAAAGCTTATGAAACAATAAACTCTTAGAGTAAGAAATGTTGATGTTACTGTAACACTTCCTAACAGCCTAAATGGGGACCAGGAAAATACAGGATTTACCTTGAATTCTGTAGGCTCGCCAACATTAGTGAGAATGTATAACTCATCATCTCTATGTTCTACATAGTAAAGGACCCCATGGATTCGCTTCTGGATAAGTACTGGTGGGTCCCAAGGGCTCAGGCCATCTATCAACCACACCTCAGAAGTGGTCTTAGACATGATATTCATGGTGAGAAAACGACTGTCTTTTGTAAGATAAAGGAAGACAAAAAAACTATGCAGAAAAAAGAGGGGGGGGGAGAGAGAGGAAAATCCAATAAATTTCAAATGTAAGCTACTATTGCTAATGACAATTTCTCACTGGTATTGAGTATATATATTAATTTCTAATGCACACAGATAAGAAAAACTCCTTAGTGAAATACTGCTTGTAAAAACTGGCTATTATTTTTTCTCAATTTCTCCTCAAAGGCATTCAAAATAATTTTTCTCTAACATTTTATTATGAATATTTTTCAAAACCCACCACTAAGATTCTATACCTGCTAACATTTTGCTGTATTTCCTTGATCAGATATTTATATATCTTTCAATCCATCTTTTTTAAAAAATGCATTTCAAGGTAAACTACAGATATCATTTAACACTCAATCACACTAATAGATTACAGGAATTTTTGCTGAGAAGAGGAAATAAACTTCTTGGAGAAGATATGTAATTGTAGGGAAGAAAAGAGACAGAGTTTTCTTTGTTTTTCCTCTGAATACATGTTAGATATCCTTTTTTCCTACTCTCCCAGTTTTTACAACAAAACAAACAACAGGAAGAAAAACCATCACAATCTCATTAAACTAACACATTTTTTAAATTTTAGTTTTTCTATTTTTCCTTCCAGGGCTTATTTGTATTTTATACATGTCTTTAAATAGATGTAATTAAAATACAGATGCAATTCTGGATTCTGCATTTCTTACTACACATATTATCACCTTTCCCCACATTAGTTATACAGTTTATGATCAGTATTTTTAATGGCTTCCTAGTATACTATTAAGTTGAATTATCATAATTCTTAAAAACTTAGCTATTTCATTGTAATAAATATAAAAGGGAACATATCATGAAGATAGTTTCCTTCTCCATAACTTTTATAATTATTTCCTTAGGATAAATTCCCAGTAATAGAAATACTATTTTAATGATTAAGGGTATTTTTATGACTCGATAAATCAAAGACTATCCCAAGAGCATTATACTAATTCATATCGACACACTGGATGCCTTTAAATATTGCGTCTACATTTCCTGATTATGAAAGTAATTCACACTGAAAATACTGAGAAATATAAAGATAGATGGTAAGTTTTAGTTGCAAGACAGAAAATAGTCTATAGTCATAAGTCATGGTATAATGTAATAAATTACTAGCTTAAACTGTCATTTCCAAAAGACAATCTTGACAAATGACACATAAAATAGTGGGATCATAGGAATAGTTCTAATAAATTCTCATTAATAGAATCCTCATCAGAAAAAAATGCAATGACAGTGTTACTGGATCAAGAATGTTAGTTCTATGGGCTGGAATAATTTCTCCAGACCTCAAGTTCTTTATATGAACTTGGGGTTGTACAATATTTTCTTTAAGGTCCTTGTCAGGTCTGAGATTTTATTAAGTGAAGGGTTAATTTTCTTGTTTGAGGTATCAATTTTACACTCACAGATTGGTTTTTAAAGCTCACTTTTTTTCTCTTGCAAAATCTGTTCAGACATTGTCCAAATCATACTGTTAAATGATGTATAAGGTGACAGGACCCTGGTGTTAAGAAATAGTTTCTTATAAATCATTTGGAAAAGTACATCTGGCTAAGAGTTACGGAACTTTGCCAGATAAATTTAGCATCATTTCCTCTCCAGCCTGGTTGAGTGGTAATATGAGGCATAAGTCCTGAAGCAAAAAGAATTAGCTTTAAGGAGGAATTACCAGATTACTGGGGAAAGTAAAATTTAAAGACCAAAGTATATCATGGCTCAAAGCAAAGCAATTTAAATTTTAGATAATCTATATGAAATAGTGAATTCTGTGTAACTGATATGGTTAATCTAGTTATGACCTACAAGAGATTCATAAGTGCTGCATGACAATGCTATTTAAATGTTAAATTAAGAACTCTTCTCATGTCAGTACAGAGAGGATGTTAGTAATTCAGCACCTACAGTCTAATGCTATATCTGTGTTCACTCTGAAGTCTGAATATAACTAGTTTCCAATTTTGAATCTAAATCACTTATAAAAGAATGCTGTGTTCACCTTAGCCTTATTACAGCACTTTAGATAACCAGAGAAATACACTGAAGATAAAGACTTAATTGAATTGTTCTAGTACCTTGGGTCTTTTTCTGTGTAAAAACGTTCATTACGTTTGTTATCACCAAAAGTGGCTCGATATACATCATGACAGCGAAGGTTCCTCTGGAAGGTGTAGAATAAAACATCTTCATCTTCTTCATCCTTTACCCATTCTAAAAAAAAATAAAGAATTATATATAGCCACCTATTTACAGTTAAAAAAAAAAAGGCACAGTGCATTCTGAGTGTCAAACAGAAGAGATGTGTAACTTTATCTCTGGCAATCTAACTCTAACACAGGTTTGATTATACCTAACCCTGTTATTTCCAAAGAATAAGATACTACTACTTCAATTCTAAGTTTTTGTAGTTATCTGTTTCAAGGTATTCAACTTTCTAAATAAGAGTTGAACATTCAATATTTAGGGAAGACTTTGGTAAAGTCACATCTGCTTTCAGCAGATCGATTATGTTTAAATTTCATGCTCTTGTGCTTAGACGCTTGGTCATGTTCGACTCTTTGTAACCCCATGGACTACAGCCCACCAGGCTCCTCTGTCCATGGGATTCTCCAGGCAAGAATACTGGAGTGGGTTTTCCTGTTCTCCTCCAGGGTATCTTCCCAACCCAGGGATCAAACCCAGGTCTCTCACATGGTAGATGGTTTCTTTACCATCTGAGACACCTAGGAAGCCCATATTTAAGTTTGCAGGAATACTGGATCACTTCCTTTCATGCCTCAATGTTTTTGTATGTTTTCAAGTGACAGTTTATCTCAAACTAAGCTTTAAAAAAAAACTTATTTTTTAATTGGTAATATTAAATTGTTTTATAATTTTGTGTTGGTTTCTGCTGTACAACAACATGAATCAGTCACATGCTGATGTTTCCTAGATCCTACCAAAAGCTGTAAATTAAAGTATTCATACAATTACATCATGACTGCCACCTGGCTGACAGTGACTAAAAGACATCATTGTATAATATGCATTCTGATTTTAGAGGTTAAAATGTACAAGAGGTATGTCTTAGAAAAAATTTGATAGGATATAATTTTAATTCATTGTAAAAGCATTCCTTTATTAAACAATGGGGAAATTTATGGCAGAAAATGAAAGGGAGGATAAAGTATGTGTAAGACACACACACACACACACACACACACACACACACATAATCACTCAATGATAAATGATAAAATTTAAAGTTGGTTTTATTGGTAAAAATATCGTAACTTTATTGATGAATAAGTTAGTTCAGGGAATTCCCTGGTCATTCAGTGATTAGGACTCAATGCTTTCACTGCCAGGGAGTGGTTCAATCCCTAGTCAGGGAACTAAGATCTTGCAAGCTGTGTGGTCAAAAACACAAACAAAAAGTTAATTCATCTTGTTCCAGAGTTCCTTGGTAGGGACCCCAGGGCAATCTGCTACAATGGCCGGACAAGATGATGTGAAATTTAAAAAATCATACCCCAGCCTAAAGTTGAATAAAATATTAAGATGTAATTTATATGCAAACATGTACTCTAAGTAATAGCAAAGAATCTTATTACTGATACATTACTGATAAGGAGCCTGGTGGGCTACAGTCTACAGGGTTGCAAAGAGTCGGACATGACTCTTTAGCAGGCATGCACTGATATATATTACTGATACATTAACATACACTGTGCAACCTAGACTCTGATTATAATACTTTTAAAAACATGGACATGAATTTGGATGTTTAATTAAAGAAAGGAAGGTCTCTTGGTTAAGAGGCACAGAAGAAGGTATGGAGTCCACAGGGATAAACAGATCAGGCATTCATCCTCTGATTCATTCATGTGGGCAAATAAAAATGTTTCAAAAGTGTAGACAATTCTCTTGCTGTTGTCTTTTCAATGTTTTAGTTGGTGTCTTACCAAAACTAGACACATTTGGGAAAGAAGCTTCCATTACAGGCTGATCACTGAGTTTCACAACTATACAAGTAGATGCTTCAGAATCCTCAGTTCTTATCTTGGCAGCTACATATTTTTCATCAGGAGCAACTCTGATACAGTCAATGAAGGGCTGCTCTAATTTAAGTTCCTCCAAATTGAACAAAACTTCATAGTTATCATTGTCTGCTGCATAAAGAAAAAAGTAGAGGAGATAATTCCATAAGATATACTTACAATATTTTTAAAAGTATATTTCAGTGTTTTAGAGTAGCATCCCCCTTCTGGAAGATGCTACATTTTGGCTTCCTTCAGCACTGACAGTAGCTTGATGTGTGTAGAAAATGGCATTTGTTATTTAATATTACAATATCCTATTCAGTATTATTCTATACATCAGCCTATGTGATGTTACTTGATACAGTTAGTCTAATATTTGTAGACCATATAGGACCTAGAAAAGTAAGAAACTATAAGTGACACTAAGTAATCTATGTTGTGCCTAGCATAGTAACTGGGATTTGGTAGATGCTCAAAAAATGCTGGTTCTCACCTCCATTCCCTCTGCCAAAGCTTCTGAGTGTAAGTATTAATTCTAGCTTAGGCAAACTCAGATATTAAAAGCTAGTCATTTAAAATAAAGATAAAAATCAATAATCAAAACCTATTTTTTTTTTAATCAAAACCTATTTTTTTATGCCTTTGAAAATCAATACCAGCCTTTCAGGCAGCATGTCCAGGGGGTGAGTAGGTACCAATCACTGGCCCTTCTGTCCTGGGAGTACACACAGACCGCCGCACCAGCACACCCCATATCAAGGGAATAATGGCCACATATGTTGAGGACAGAGGCAGCAAGCATACAAACTAAAAGCAGCCCTCAACTTCCTACAAGGTGGAGTAGGAGAAGGACTTGAGTTCACTTCCTCTCATGAAAACACCAAAATCACAACTAACTGTTGAACAACCACTGACCAAAAAGACTGGAACCTATCAAAAAAAACATACTTTACACCCAGACAAAGAAGAAGCTACAATGAGACAGTCGGGGGTGGAGGTGGGGGAACGCTTTCATGATATAATCAAATCCCACCCATTGGGTGGGCGAGCCACAAACTGGAAAAATAATTATATCACAAAGGCTCTCCCACAGGAGTGAGAGTTCCGAGTCCCATGGCAGGCTCCCCAGCCTGAGGGTTTGGCGTTGGAAGGAACCTCCAGAGCATTTGGCTTTGAAGGTCAGTGGGGGCCTGAACAAACAATAAATGCTGGAAGGTGTGTAGAGAAAAAGGAACCCTCCTACACTGTTCATGGGAATGTAAATTGGTACAACCTCTACAGAGAACAGTATGGAGCATCCTTAAAAAACAAAAAACGGAACTACCATATGATCCAGCAATCCCCTTGGGCATATATCCAGAGAAAACTGTAATTCAAAAAGATACATGAACCCCAGTGTTCACTGCAGCGCTCTTTATAATAGCCAAGACTTGAAGCAACCTAAATGGCCAGTGACAGAGGAATGGATAAAAATGTACAGATAGAGATCACAATAGAATATTACTCGGCCATCAAAAAGAATGACACAATGCCATTTGCAGCAACACGGATGAACCTAGAGACTGTCATACTAAGTAAGTCAGAGGGAGAAAGACAAATTTCATATGATATCACTTAGCATGTGGAATCTAAAAAAAATGATACAAAGAAACTTATTTGCAAAAGGTAAACACACTCACAGACTTGGAAAACAAACTTACCATACCAAAGGGGAAATGTAGGAAGGAGGGATAAATTAGGAGTTTGGGATTAACATATATACACTACTATATATAAAACAGAGAATCAACAAGGACCTAATGTATAGCACAGGGAACTCTACTCAATATGTTGTAATAACCTATATGGGAAAAGAACCTGAAGAATGGATATATATATGTGTGTAACTGAATCACTTTACAGTACATATGAAACTAATAACTTTAAATCAACTATACTGCAACAGAAAATACAAATTAAAAAAATCAATACCAAATTTCTCATGAAAAATGTGAAATCGGAAAAGTCAAATGTTTCTTAAAAAGGAAAACTGTACGGTACCTTCTTCATCTTTAGAACGAACCAGGCAGCAGCCCTCTTGATAATAAACGAAACCACCATGTTTAATCTGACAATGTAAAGAAGCAAATGGTTTATTTAATAATAACAATAATTTATCCACTAGTTTAAACACAATTTAATTAATCGTTTAATGGTCTGACTATTCAAGATGAAGAAATGAGATCTTTTATAAAGGCAGACCTGTTGAAGTCTATGAATGAACATAGAAAAAATATTAAGTGGATACAAATATACAATATAGTGATCAAGATATGGTTTTCATATGTTTACAGACATTGGAGGCATTTCTAATACATAAATGAAAGAAACAACAAAGAGAAAACAAAACAAAACCTATGTCAGTTCTCATGAATGTATGAACCACGTTAGCTTTATTTTTGGAACTTCTGACAATTAACAGAGATCAAGTGGCATCATTAAGATAAACCAAAATTATGCAGATGCAAAAACCATGACTTAAGACTAGCCTGAAAACCCAGTCAATACCTTTCTGAAATTCTTTCCTCTAAAATATGCTGTCATTGCCAACTGTTCACGGTTTGATCTTATTTTACACAAAGCATCTTACCCTCTGTAGAGGTGACAGATAAAGGCAATTTGAGAGACAGAAAGACCATTACCAATACGTGAATCATGCTCTTGTCTAATTCCTTCATATTAAATGCAAGTGATTGACTGATATGATATTAGGTAGCTTAAGACATTTACTACCTGCTAGTTAATGGTGTGATTTGAATCTGGAATTCCTGATTCTTTGTTGTTCAGCTGCTAAGTCATGTCAGGTTCTCTGTGGCTCCATGGACTATATTGCTATTTTCATTCTACTATGTATGCAATTTTCACTCATAAGCTGTGGTTCTGTTTTCCATTCTTATCAAAAAATTTTTCAAAAAAAAAATTTCAATGTGTATGTTAGTTTCAACCACGTATTCATGAGTGTGGTAAACACAAAATGGCCAAGCAAATACTTGGCTTTCATGGTATTAAACTGTTCAAAGTGAATTTTCTTTTAATTAAAAAATAGTATAGCTAGAACAATCATATACTTTCCAAATAATGAAGCACTGACTTAGTTTCACTTGAACTTCTCACTGGAATTATTTTAAAACATTTAGAAGCAGAATTGGTTGTTTCCAAAAACCAAAATTAATATAATACGCTTGTAAATTCATCTTGGCTTTGATCTTTACAATTTATTTAAAGGATCATACTTAGCTTATTCTTTGTTCTTTAAGTTTTTCAGCATATATTAAAGGCCAAAATCAGTCTAATTTGGATGTGGGCTTATGTTTATAAATCATAAGGTATTGATTTAAAAAAATATAAGGTATTTCATTTGTATCCCAACTGGTAATATAAGGTTTAAAAAAATAGAGATAAGATATCTTACCTCTGCGTTAATGACTTCGTATTCTTCTTGTGGCTGTGTTTCTAATTTTGCTCTCACTTTTTCAAACGCATCCATGTTTTCTGAAAGGGGTTTTTCGTTTTCCTGTTTACTAGACAGAAAATTCTGGAAAAAAGTTTTATCAGTATGATCATAATATTTCAATTAGGAAAAAAAAACTTTCACCTTTTAAACATAATTCTTATTTCCTTCTCATGCAAATACTACAACATTAGGTGTATACCTATGAAATAAACTGCATTTCACAGATCTTAAGTATTGTTTCATAAGTTTAATAAGTCATTTCCTCTTTTTCATTTAAAAATGTAAAGAAAGAAAATGAGGTTGATAGTTAATGACTACAGAAGGAAATGGCAACCTACTCCAGTGTTCTTGCCTGGGAAATTCCATAGACAGAGCCTGGCTGGCTACAGTTCATGGGATCGCAGAGTTGGACACGACTGAGCGCACATGCACACATGAATTTAAATGCGTAAGTCCTTGAGAGGCAGAGGTACTAAGAAGTGCTGAGGAGTGTTCAGAAATACTATGGGAAAGCAATAAATGAAATCCTGTGAACACTTAAACATATTTAATAGCCAGGTGTGAGAAGGAGAAGTCTGCTGAATTTTATAAAGTACTAAAATACCTCCTAAAATGAGAAAAATGTCAAAGGCAGAGGAAGATATTAACATTATCAATAAATGTTCATTATTATTTTATTCACAGCAAGAGTCACGATAAGAAGTTTTGGTTACTTTCTATCTTCATTGGCCATAATTTTCTTCTCTTGTGGGGATAAGGAATCCTCCAAATAGAACTGTTTATCAGATCAAATGGTGAATTAAGGCTTTATAAAACAGAACTTCTCTTTTGAGATAAGGAGTAATATATTCATCTTAAAAAAGGAAGAATAAGGAAAAATAATGGAAAATTAGTGAGAAGAGAGACAGGTGAAAACTAAATAAAGCACCCCATGTCTTATTGCTGCTGCTGCTGCTGCTGCTAGGACGCTTCAGTCGTGTCCGACTCTGTGCAAACCCGTAACGGCAGCCCACCAGGCTCCCCTGTCCCTGAGATTCTCAAGTCGAGTCTGACTCCTAGCGACCCCATAACGCAGCCCACCAGGCTCCTCCATCCATGGGATTTTCCAGGCAAGAGTACTGGAGTGGGCTGCCAGTGCCATGTCTTATTAGGAGTCCCTAATAAGCTAAAAACTTAAGTTGACATCTGCTGAGCACATAAATACCATATGAATTATTAACATTTGGGTAAGGCAAAAATCTCAGTTCTCAAATCTAAAAAAGGGTTCAATAATTCAATACACCATGAGTTTGCCTTGCTTAAGGAAAAGAATTCTAGTCAAGATTTTCAATCACCTTCTGCCAAAGATGACAACTGTACAGTGATTTGTGCCAGAGGGCACTAAGCCTTTGGTAAGGACCTCCAACAGCTGGTTAATATGTATTGCACAAGTGTGTCCATGATACTTTACCAACAGTGTAGAGAATGTAACTGATATAGTCTATATCACAATGAGTTTATAATCTAAAATTAAACACAAGAATAAAATAGAAAAATCACCAAAGCAAATTAAATGGAAAATTAATCATTTTCACAAAGTTTTAAGACTTTTTGGGATGCTTTATCATTTGGATTAGATTCACATTAGCTATAATAGTCATTACACTAGTCATTTACTCTCTACTTCAATAAACTTAATGTGCTTGAGTAACAAGTGCAAATACTAGAGGCTTGTATGTTTACCTTTCTTTTTCTTTTTTAAAGTATCTCTACAAAATCTAGTGTTGATCTTTAGTGAGGCAAAATATCTATACCAATAATTTCCTATTATCACCTAAAGCACGAAACAGATCACTAGAAATCTATCTTGAAACTATAACTTAGTGATAGGAGCTGACTTTTTATTTCCAGACATATGCTATCTGTTCCGTTAATTCCTATTAGAGTTAGTCAGGAGAGCCACAAAGAGGGCACCTCTCTCTACTGCCTTGCAGCCTCCAGCACATTCCAAACCAGGAGCTGGGCTCTGCCACTTTCAACGCTGCTTCTTTCCTATTGAGAGCCGAGGCTAATGCGGGACTAAAGGCAACAGGGCTGGCCCAATACCTATCCTGCTACACTTATCTTACAGTCTTAATTTTTTTTCTGTGTCACAAATCCAAATAAACTGAGTTTATCTGAACCAAAATAACTCTGAAATCAACAGGATTTTGAACTACCTTAATAAAGTAGAAGCAGAGTTCAAGTGTTTTGTAAATGATTCCTCAAAAGGAAATTCTCCCAGGGAAACTGAGATTTTCTATAGTACTCACAAAATACTCCAGGTTGATTTTGGTTTAAGTTCTGTCCTCAACAATACTCACTGGATGTTCCAAGCTAGCATTATCATTAGGGTATGCAGCTAAACCTATCGATTTTAGCCAAGTATCTTAATACATTAATAGTTCATTGGTTTTAAGGGTATAAACTGCCTAATGGAGCTGAGATGAGGAGAGCTTTAACTTTAAATTTGAAGAGCTTACATGCACAGTGTCACTTTATTAATGGAAAAAAGAACCAGTCTCCCTCATCTTCTGGGTGGCCTACTACAAAACCATTTTAATAATGTAAACTCTTAAGATAGAAAAAGAGAATATGTAAACTTTATTAGAGCAACATCATTGAACTCTAAAGACAGAAAATCACACAACAGAAGAACACTGGGCAGCTTTGAGTAAAGATGGTGCCATTAATAAATGGCTAATTCCAATTCTGGGACAGGGAGAGTAAAAAGCAGGCTTAGGACATTTTGTGTTATAAAGCAAGAAGTGTTCAAAGGTTTATGGAGATGTGTGAAAAGAACACAAGGGCCAGTTTGAGGGGATTCCTAGTAGCCACATTTAGGGCAATTTGAGCATCCAAAATAATAATGACTGTAATTGATTACTTTAAAAACTCATAATAATTTAAAAAGAAATAAAAAAACAAAACACACACCAAACTAAAATAAAAAAATAAGAAGACTACAAAAAAAGGGGAAAACTTTTTTTTACAGAATACTAGCTAATAAATATAGAAAGAATCACAGAAATAGAAAAACATTAGCAACCCCCACTGAAAGAAGTGATTAGGGTAAAGATCATCATCCATGGTTATTAAGCTCATTAGGTGAAATGATATTGGGTAATAAAATATTTGCACAAAGTATTACCCTACATTCTACTTAGTAATTGCAAAGGGAATAAATGGCCCCTTAACAATGGAGAGAACTAGCAATTATCACCTTTATTGAAATTATTAAGCTTAGCATATGAACAGTGGGACAAGCTGACATTATGAGTCCCCTGAAATAACTCAATATGGATAATTTCAATTTTAGACAGAAAAAGAGAAGAGTAAACCTAAAGTAAGTAGAAGAAAGGAAATAAATTTAATTTGTTTCAATGAAATTGATAAACTAAAGAAGGACCAAAAAAACGGAAAAAGTTGGTTCTTTTAAAAATGTACTAAGAAAGATTGGAGGCCTGGACAGGGAGGCCCAGGACAAAGAGGCCTGGAGTGCTGCAGTCCAAGGGGTCGCAAAGAGTCAGACACAACTTAGCGACTAAACAACAAGAAGATAGATATGTATAAAACTTGACTTAAAAAGACAAAAATATTAGAAATGAAAAAGATGGCATAATTACAGATATAACAAAGATTTTTAAAAATTACAATAAAGTTCTTTATGCTAATACATTTGAAAATATGATAAAATGGATAATTTTCCAGAAAATAAATTAGCAAAACTGATACAAATGACAGAAGAGCTGTATAAGCCAATAACTATCAAAAAAATTGATGATTAAGTGTCCCTTTATAAAAGAGACACAAACCCCAGGTAAGTTCAAGGGTAGCTTTCTCAAATCCTCAAGAAACAGATCATCTCATATATTAACTATTTATGGGGAAAAAAGGCCAACTATATAAAACCATGCCATTAATTTCATCAGGCTAATATAACCCTGACACTAAAACAAGACAGTGACAATATCAGACAATTAAAAATCAATCTTACTATAAAATATGGATTGAAAAAACTAAAATAAAAGATCAATGTATTTTAAAAAAACACAAAACAAAAACAATAGTGATAATAAAATCCTATGTGACCAATGAAGATTTATCTTCAGAGTGAAAGGATGGTTCAACACTAGAAAAATCTATCAATGTAATCACAAAGAAAGGAAATATATCTTAGGCCCATTTCAAGTAATGCAGAAAAAAATAGAAAATAATCAATACACTTAAAAATCATAAAAATCTTAAACTTCCTTAAGAAACATCCCTGTGTTGTTTTAGGCAGAACCATACTAAGCATCAGTTCCTGGGGTCACAAACACTTTCACTTTCATACTAAGCATTTGTGAAAACCTTTGCAAGACTTGTCTATGTTCCCTGCTTCTAATTCCTGTGTTTGAGCCCAGTAAGATTTTTGCCCTTCTCATTCCAGTGACTACTCTTGTCAAGGTCACTGATGGCCTTGAAGTACATCAAGAAGTACAAATGTTAATTCTAGGTGATCACAGTACTTGAGAGCTATCAGCATTGTGACTCAGTTGATAACTTCCATCTCCTAAAAACACTTCACTTCACATTGCTTGCCTTCTATTTCACTGGCCCGTCTCAGTCTCTTCAGCTAGTTCCTACTCAACTCCTTGGCTCTTAACATCAAAATGTACTGGACCACTTCTTTTATCTATAGTCTGCACTAGTTCCCTTGGTGATCTCATACAGTCTTATGATACTAAATAGTAAATGCTGTTTATTTTCTAGGAATCCTAAATTTATATTTCTAGCTTGATCCTTTTCCCTGAACAAGTTTGTTATACCCAACTGACTACAATACTCATTATTTTCTACTTGGACTTCTAACAAGTATTAAAAAAAAAATTGCCCAACACTGAATATCCAATGTCCCCATTTTCCCTCTCCCCACAAAAATCTCCTGTTCTTTAGGCAATTGTTCCTATCTTCATAAATGACAACTGTCTTTCCAGCTGCTCACGCTTAAAAGTTTTAGTTTTCTTTGTCTTTCTCTCTAGCAACCACTGACTGATGTGCCAATCTTGTCAATTCTACTT